GAGAGAGAGAGAGAGAGAGAGAGAGAGAGAGACAGAAAGCGAGAAATCACCTCCCAGGGGGGATGGCCATGCCGCAGTCCCTTCTCTTCTGTTCTCCTCTTGGGATCTTGGGCACACACACATATGCACCTGGCGTGAGTTTAAGACCCCGGGTCCAGTACTCAAACCACAGTCGACTATATGGGAGTCCAGCGACATAGACATTACTCCAAATGCTGGTCCTACAAGTATGGGTTTTAGAGTCAGAGAAATCTCTCCTTAGTGGTATCACCTCAATATATTACTTACTCTTTATAATAGTTTCATTTCTTCATTTGAAAAACCCATCCTCCTTCCCCCAACCTTCCTTCAGTCACGCCCAGGTAAGGAATTTTGCTCCATAACAATGGTTCTCAAAGTGTAGTCCCTAAACCAGCAGAACTAGCATCTCCTAGGAACTAGTTAGAAATGCAGATTCTGAGGGCCCAGCCTAGCCCTGCCAAATTAGGCTCTGGGCATGGTGCTTTGTTTTAATAAGTGCTCTAGATGATTCCGGTGTAGCTAAAATGGTAAGAGTTAGAGTTGGAAAAGAAGCAGTTAAGATGAGGTTGACAAACATTTTCATAAACGGCCAGGCATTAAGTAACTTCAGTTTTTTGGGCCACATAGCTACTCACTTCTGTCACTGAGCCACAGAATAGTCATAGATAATCTAAAATGACAAGTGTGGCTGTGTTGTAGTGAAGCTTTATTTGAAAAAACACGGTTGGGTCCAGCAGATGGTGCAGCGATTACATCACCGGACTCCCACTTGGCTGACTGGTCTGAGTCCTGGGTACGAGTGTGCCTAAGGTCCTGGGAGGAGAATGGAGGCGAGGGATTGCAGTGTGGCCATCCTCCCTGTGGGGTGATTTCTCACTTTCCCACTCACTGTCTCTCTTGCTCTTTGACCAGTGCATGCACTCTAAGGCAAAAATTTCTTAAAAAATAAAAGAAAGAAAAAACAGGCAGCAAGCCCGTCTTGGCCTGTGGGCTGCACTTTGCCAGCCCCTGGACAAGTGTCCGGCTGTATCTCTGTCCGTTTATTTCTCCCGCAAGAAAACATTGGCGTGTGCATGAGTGAACTTGAATGTACTGTGAATTATTTGTGAGAAATTATTAGCAAACTCTGATGCTTAATTATAAAGAAGAGATTATTTATAACTTGTGTCATGACTTGGAACTCAAGCAGATAAAATACTAGGCTAGCAGGGCTGAGCATGTCTTTTGTTTGCCTATGTAGGTAATGGTGCCAAGAGGTAAGTTACTTTACACTGGAAAATTGTATTGCTTAAATTTTACGATAATTTTAAAGAAATCTGTCTGTATTTTTCTCTTTGACTGATTTGGATTTTATTTTGAATATGACCGATCAGAGATGATAGGAACTTACAGTTTGAGAAACGGAGGGAGGTATGTGTGAAGGCTACCAGGAGGTATATTCGCAGTTTTTCTCCTGGGCAAGGTGTCCTTGTGATTTCTTTCAGTTTTGAAAATGAGTAGTGTTTATCCAAGTACCTTTGTCATTAGGGATTAGTATGGCACAAATGTCAAGATTTTAAGAAAGGATCATTTTCACAGATAACTTCTATCCTTAGTGTGATTCTAAAACTATTACTTTTTTGGTTAGGCTACTAGCAAAAGTGTCTGTGCCTTCCTGGTTGCTACGTATACTGATGGCCGACCAACGGAAAGTGCGGAGTGGTTCTGCAAATGGTTGGAGGAAGCGTCCAGCGATTTTCGATTTGGCAAAACTTACCTGAAGGGTATGAGATATGCAGTGTTTGGCCTGGGAAATTCTGCCTATGTGAGCCACTTCAACAAGGTAGGTATATGTCAAATTATAGGGATAAATGATCATTTAATTAAAAAAAACCCAAAAAACAAAAAACTGTTTTACTCTGTCCGCAAACACACATATGCGAAATAATATGGAAATTTTGGTACTTAATGATAGATTTTGTGTGTTATCTATCTATCTATCTATCTATCTATATTTTTCCCCATAGAGTGTGTGTGCCTATCGAAGAGAGAGAAAGAGAAATTCAGAAATCACCCTTCAAGGGGGATGGACATGCCACACTCCCTTCTCTTCCATTCTTCTCTCAGGATTTTGGGCATGCATGCACAGGTGCCCCATGTGTCTTTTAGGCCACCAGGTCCCAGACTTGAACCATGGTCGACCATGTGGAAATCCAATGTATTAGCCACCATGTTATCTGCTGGCCCCTCATGTTATTGTACAGTATACATAGTATGTAACATAGCCTCTCAATAAGATGTTTTTGTTGTTATAGGGTGGGCACCACCACACCCAGATTTTTTGTTGTTGTTTAAAAAATTATGTAATTTTATTTGTTGTTATTTTAAAAATTTGCTCTAGGGCATACATGCTCACCAGAGAGAGACAGAGAAGGAGAGAGAGAGGGAAAGTGAGAATGCAAGCCCCCCAGGTCTAGAACTCGAATCATAGTCGGCCATTTGGGAGTTTAGCGCCCCAACCACAATGCCATCCCCTGGTCTTTCTCAATAAGTTTTGATTAAGTAGAATGAATGAGTATGTTGTCTAGTGTTTTAGCAGCCTGAACTCATGACCATTGAGTCCAGCCTCCTGGCCTCAGTCAGAACCTTGTAGGTGAAAGATCACTGAATCTTCACATTTTCTTAATGATCTCTTCTGTGGTTGACTATCCTTTCTTGCCCAACCTAACTCTTTTTTAAATTTAATTTAATTTTATTCATTTTTGTTATTTTATTTTTAAAATTTTTTGTATGAATTTGACTAGAGAGAGACAGAGAGAGAGAAGGAAAGTGAAAAAGCAAGCTGTCAGGTCCGGGACTCGAACCATGGTCAGCCATGTGGGAGTCCAGCCGCCTTAACCACCACACCACGTGCTGGCCCCTTGCCCAACCTAGCTCTTAATACAAGTGAACTCATTTTGTTTAAATTATTAATTTTTAAAAGGAAATAGAAGAAAAATGTTCATTGTCATTAATGTAAATAGAACATTAATGTAAATAAAACATTATAAATCTTTTTGTTTATTTTCCTCGATCTTTTTTCAAAATTAAGTGAGGAATTAATTTTGCTCCTTTTTGTTTTAGTTCTGTTTTCTATACTTCATGAAGCCTCTCAGTTTTTTAGTGGTTATAAAAGCTTTTGTGTGTCTACCCTTTCCTAGAGATGGGCCCAGCCCAGCGTGGCTGTCTTTGGTGGAGTGTGAATGATGATAGATGTGTGGAGGTTTCTTTTAACTTTTTAAATTCAATTGTTATAACATAGATTTCCTCACATATTTTCAAAGGAATTAGACTAAGAATGAGAAAATCCAGATAATGTAAATATTTTGTTTAACATCTTTCTGCTCAGGAAGCCTATTAAGTTTTTGAACTCTTTTTTTGAAGAGGTTTTTGCTATAGGGCACGTGTGCTCGTCAGACAGACAGAGAGAAACAGAGAGCTAGAAAGTGAGAAATCACCCCCCGGGGGGATGGCCACGCCGCAATCCCTTCTCCTCCATTCTCCTCTCGGGATCTTGGGCACGCACGCACATGCGCCCGTCATGAGTTTAAGCCACCAGGTCCGGGACTCGAACCATGGTCGACTACGTGGGAGTCCAGCGACATAGCCATTACGCTAACTGCTGGTCCCAAGTTTTTGAACTCTTAACTGTGCTTCTCAATAACCTCGTGCCTCTGCCTAATTTCTCCATATTACAATGAAATAAATTTCTGAGTTTATGAAATTCTGAATCTTGCCAAATTAAGTACATTTGCAGTTATTATCACATGGGCATTGGTCCCATAGGCCTTTGTTACATTTTTGGAATTAATTTTGTTAATGCATATTTTATTCTGACTATGATTTACAGTGGTAGCTTTCAAATTCTGTTCTGGTTATTAACCCCTTGCTTAATAAAAAGGTTGGTTTGTTCTTTTGTTAAAAACATTTTTATGCAGAAAATTAGAATACATACCACGTAGCTTCTCTGGATTTAGGCTGGCGTTTGAGGTCCGAAAACCCCTTTTACTGAACGGTTCCTTCTCTCACGAGTGGCAGTCATCAGGGATCCCAGAAGAACTTTGGGCTTTTGCAGACTAGTCTAAAAACCAGATTTAGGAGGTCATAAAACAGATTTAGAGGACTTTAGCTCATCTACCTCTTTGTCCTGCAGGTTGGCAAAAATGTCGATAAGTGGCTCTGGATGCTGGGTGCACATCGTGTGGTGGCCAGAGGGGAGGGTGACTGTGATGTGGTCAGAAGCAAACGTGGCAGCATTGAAGCTGACTTCAGAGCTTGGAGGACCAAGTTCATCTCCCGGTTGCGGGCACTTTGCAAAGGAGAGAAAAAATCTTGTGGTGGCAACTGCAAGAAAGGCAAATGTGAATCCAATCTGCATGGCTCACAGCAGAAGGACCTGGCATCCCACACCCAAGATGAATCACATCACAGAGACCCTGAGGTATGCAGCCCATGCTGTCATCCCTTGGCCACTTTCCTCCTACCTTTGGAGATACCAAACTTTACCTCTGACCTCAGAAACCATTCCACTGGCTCCTGGTTAGAAGAAAGATCTGAAAGTCATGTGCCGATGTTTTAGAGAGTGTGTGACCTTAGGAGCCAAGCCACCTTGTGCTAGACGCTTTGCTGTATCTCCTTTTTAATTATTGCATTAGAATCAGGTATGTTTTACTGCCTTTTGCAGGATAAGTAATGGGAGCTCAGAGACCTTAAATATGTTCCGGAGTGAATTCATTTTTTGATATCCTCAGATCATGTAGTCCTCCTTATGTAAATGACTCCAGTAGTTATCAGATGGCCGCAAGCCATCTCCACATCTCTTTCTTCTCCTATATTCTAAACATTTCTCTTCCTCCTTCAGATACTTCCTTTGATCCTCATGTCTTCAGGTATCACTGCTGACATCCTCACAGCTGTCACCTTTTGGCCATCCACATCATAGGAACAACTTTTTTTTAATTTAATTTTATTTATTCATTCATTTATTTTTAATTTGACCATAGAGAGACACAGAGAACAAGAGAGAAGGAAAGTGAGAAAGCAAGCCACCAGGTCTGGGACTTGAACTGTGGTCAGCCATGTGGGAGTGTCCAACACCTTAATCACCATGCCACCTGCTGGTCCTGATAGGAATAACTTTAAATTCTGACTTACTGTCTTTTTGGCCGTCCTTATTCTTATCACTAGTTTTTGTAGCTAAGACATCCATGGAGATAGTCTGCCTAACATCTTGACCTGACTATTTCCTGGCTTTCACACTTCCAGCCACTGTTTTTCCACTGACCCTGGTCTGTCCCTTCCATAGTCACTCCTGAAATTCAAATTCCTGTGACCCTATCCTGACCTCACTCTGAGGCCCCCTACCTACTTTGAAATTCTTTTAATCCCATGTCTTTTTCACTGGAGAGTGGAAATTGCTTGCATCGTGTGTGAATGTCACAAAGCCCAAAGTCCCAAGAAGAAAATGGAAGAGAAAGGATTGTGGTGTTTCCCTCCTCCTTGGGGGCAGTAGGGTGATTTCTTACTTTCTCTCTCTCTCTCTCTCTCTCTATTCAGCAGGTACATGCGCCCTATAATAAAACTAAAAAAAAAAAAAAAAAAAAAAAAGTTTATTTGTGTATTTCTTCTACGTGAGAAATAGAGAGACAACATTTCCAATAGTCTTTTTTTTTTTTTAGAGGTTTTTGCTATAGGGCGCGTGCGCTCGCCAGAAAGGAAAAGAGACAGAAATGTAGAAAGCGAGAAATCACCCCCTGGGGGGGGTGGCCACGCTGCGGTCCTTTCTCCTCCATTCTTCTCTCAGGATCTTGGGCATGCACGCACACATGCCCGGTGTGAGTTTAAGCCACCGGGTCTGAGACTTGAACCACAGTTGGCTATATAGGAGTTCAGTGACATAGCCATTATGCTAACTGCTGATCCCTCCAATAGAGTCTTACTGATGCACTCCATCTCAGCTTTAGCCACCTCTGGATCATGGGCATGTTTGTGCCTGGCTTATACAGGGAAGTCTACAGACATGAGCCTGGAACCTTTCGATGTGGGTCAGTCTTGAAAAGTGTTATGCTTTATTTCTGTGCTATTGTCCATCCCCTCTACCCTTTATATTATTTTCAATTGGGTTGTGTTTTTGTTGTTAAATGATAAGTTGTCTTTATTTTGTCTTAGTCACCCTTATCAGATACGTAATTTGCAAGTATTTTTTCCCATTCTGTAGGTTTTCTTTTTCACTTTCTTGATAATGTCTTTTGTCGTGCCCAAGATTATAATTTTATGAAGTTCAGTTTATCTGTTCTTTTGTTGTTCATGCTTTTGGGGTCATATATATGAACCCAATAAGAAATACAAGGTCATAAAGATTTGCCCCTATTTTTTCTCCAGGATTTTATAGTTTTAGCTCTTATATTTAGATCTTTGATCCATTTCTGCATTAATTTTTATGATGTGAAGTAGGAGTCCAGCTTCAACCTTTTTTTTCTTAAGTTTTATTTGCTATAGAGTACGTGTGCTTTCAGGAGAGAAATGGAGAGAGAGGGAGAAAGTGAGAAAGCTCCCCTAGAAGGAATGTCCATGCTGTAATCCCTTCTCCATTCTCTTGGGGATTTTGGACACATGCGTGTGTGGCTGGTGTGTTTTTTGAGCAGTTGGCCATGAGGGATCTAGTAGCCAGAGCCACCATAGCACTGTTTGGCCCGCACCTTCATCCTTTTGCGTGTGGGACCCAACTGTCCTAGCACCGTTGTTGAAAAACTCTTCTTTTTCCATTGAATGGACTTGGAGTCCTTGTCAAAAGTCTTTTTCCTTAGATGTATTTGTTTTTGGAATCTGTTCTGTTTAATTGATCTATATGTATTATGTCAGTACTATGCTCTTCTTTTTTTCTTTAGAGAGCTATTTGCTATAGGGTGTGTGTACTAGCCAGAGAGACAGAGAGAGAAAGTGAGAAATCACCCCATAGCAAGGATGGCCACACTGCATTCCCTTCTTTATTCTCCTTTTGGGATTTTGGGTAGGCGTGCATATGCGCCCAGTGTGAATGTCAAACCACTGGGTTTAGGACTTGACCCGGGTTCAGCACCATAACCACTATGGCACCTGCTGGCCCCTATTTTAATATTTTTCACAGGTTTTCCATAGGATGTATGCTCACCAGGGAGAGAGAGAGAGAAAGTGAGAAATCACCCTCCAGAGGGGATGGCCACACCACAATCCTTTCTTCTCCATTCTCCTCCTAGGATCTTAGGCATACATACACAAATACACAGTGTGATTTTCAAGCCACTGGATCTAGGACTCGAACTGCAGTTGGCCATGTGAGAGTTCAGCAATGTAATCATTATGCCATCTGCTGACCCTCGCTCTTTTAAAATTATTTATTTAATTTTACTTATTATTTTTAGAGAGGTTTTTATGTGTACTGGCTGGAGAGACAGAGAGAGGCAGAGAGACAGAAAGTGAGAGATCATCCCTCAGAGGAGGATGGCCACACTGCAGTCCCCTCTCCTCTGTTCTCCTTTCTGGATTTTGGTCATGCGCACACATGTGCCTGGCGTGAATTTGAAACCTCTGGGTCTGGGACTTGAACCACAGTCGACTGGGAGTCCTGCAGTGTAACCATTTTGCCATCTGCTGGTTCCATATTATTATTATTATTATTATTATTATTATTAAATTTGCTACAGGGCATGTGTGCTCATGAGAGAGAGAGAGAGAGAGCGAGCGAGCAAGCTTCTAGCTCTGGAACTCAGCTGCAGTTGGCCAGTGCCTTAACTACTATGCCACCTGCTGACCCCAGTGCTAAACTGTTTTGATTACTATGGCTATATAGTAACATTTGAAGTCAGAAACTGAGTTCTCTGATCTTACTCTGCTTTTTCATTATTGTTTTGGCTACTTGGAGCCCTTTGTACTTTTATATGAATTCAAGAATTGACTTTTTCCATTTTGCAAAACATCGTTGGGTTTTTGATTGAGATTGCATTGAATCTGTATCAAGAAAACAGCCATAGACAATGTGTAAATGAATGGTCATGTAGAGATTTGACCTGAGGCTGGCTGGATTCGGCTTGTGGACCATAGTTTGCTCTCCTCTTGCCTAAAGTATGTTAAACCTATCCATTTCCTTCTATCTCTACTGTTAACTTGGTGAGTTGAAACCTTTTTTCTTGATTAGACTAGTATGGGTCTTCCCTCTTGTTTTTTCCTCTATCTGTTCTTCAGTGAACATTCAGAATAATTTTCTTTCTTTCTTTCTTTCTTTTCTTTTCTTTTTTTTTAAAGGAAGATTTTTGCTGTAGGGCACATTCACTTGCTAGCGAGACAGAGAGACAGAAAGTGAGAAATCTCCCCCCAGGGAGGATGGCCATGCTGCAATCCTTTCTCCTCCATTCTCCTCTAGGGATTTTGGGCATGCAGGCATATGCGCCTGGCATGTGTTAGGTCCAGGACTCGAACTGCAGTTGACTATGAGGGAGTCCAGCAATGTAACTAATATGCCATTTGCTGGTCCCTCAGGGTAATCTTAATTTTTTTTGACAGATTTTTGCTGTAGGGTGTGTGCACTCGCTGGAGAGACAAAGAAATAGAGAGATATCACCCTCCAGGGGGAATGGCCATGCTGCAGTCCCTTCTCACCCATTTTGCTCTTGGAACTTTGGGCATGCACGCACACATGCCTGGCATGAATTTCAAGCCTGTGGGTCCATGACTCCAACCGCAGTTGACTATGTGGGAGTCCAGCTACATAACCATTACACCGTCTGCTGCCCTATCTCACAGTAATCTTAAAATCACAAATCAGATCATGTTACACTCCTATTTAAAAGTCTTAAGTGATTTCCCATTGCTGTTTCAATAAAAGCTGCATTCCATGTCAGCACCTAATCTTACTCTGCGTTTCTGTATCCTCATCCTACTATTCTCTCTCTTCACCAAGCTCTGGCCACACTAGTTGGATTGGTATTGGAAATATTTATTGAATGATGAGTAAGTTCAGACATCCAATTTTACGTCCTCCTGTTACTCTGTGGGTCAGACTAGTATATTTTCTTCCCTAGAGTATTGTAACAAATCACTCATCATTATCCTTGTCTACAGTCTTGCCTCCCTTAAATGATCTTCTATATTCCCAGTAAACTGAAGTGATGAACTGCAGATCTGTGTTATTTCTCAGTTTAGACCATTTTAGAAGCTTCCCATCCTCTCCTTCTAGGAAACATAGGACCCTACGCAGTCTTGCCCACATCTTCCTTTCTAGCATTTTCTTCCTACTTCGTGTGCTTTATTCTTTTCTTTACAGGCAATTTCTGACTTGGTTGTAGTTGCTGCATGCCTCCTGCCAAGGCCGAATGACTTTGGCTGTCCATCTCCAACAACTTCCTCAACTGTCTTTTCCTTGCTAGGCCAGTTTACTTATCCTTAACATTTAGCTCAAGTGTCGTCTTGCTCAAGCAGCCTCCCGTAGATTCTGGCCCAGGCTGCATTTTGTGTTCTGAACCTTTCCACCAAAGCATTAGCACTTTACAGTATATGTGTCTCTGTGTCTCTTTTACTGGATTTGAAGTCTCTCTGAGGACTAGGGGAATGTGTCACATTAATTTTCTAGCCCTAGTGCCCATCATGAGTCATGTGTAATGTTTATTGCAAAGAACTTTTGAGATTTCCCAAGGTCACAGAGCTAAGTTAGTAGCAGTTACAATTAGATTTTATGTGAAGACGAAATAGGTTCCTTTGGGAGGCAGTAAATTCCTGACATGAGACTCTGTCAGAAACTCTGAGGGTCTAAGGAGAAGTTACTGTAGAGGGGCATCTAGGACAGGAGTCAGCAAACCGGCTCACTGGCCAAATCCAACCTACTGCCTGGTTTTTGCTTTATTTATGTGTGTGTGTGTGTGTGTGTGTGTGTGTGTTTTGATAGAGTTTGGCTGGGCCTGCCTTTTTTTATTTTATTTTATTTTTTTAAGTAAAGGCTTTGGGAACAGAGCCATTCCCATTCATTTGTGTGTTGTTGCAGCTACGTTTGTGTTAGAGTGGCAGAGTTGCAGAGTTGAGACAAATGCATATCCTGCATGGTCAGAAATGTTTACTATTTGGCCCTTTCCAGGGTAAGAGGGGAGATTGACTAGATGATGCCTGATGTCTTCCACAGCTGAGATTCTGTAATTTATTGGGAATGAGAAGTAGGAGCAGAGGACACATAGGTTATACTGATTTTTACTGCAGTCCTAGGAAAACAAGCATGTCCGGAGAGATAGTACCCATGTATGTTTAGGCACATCGACCAGGAAACATGGGCCTAGAAGCTCTAACAAATTGACTGATCATTCTGAAATATGTTTAAGGTGGTGGTCTCAACTCTGTTCTTGATAGCTTGAGCATGAGATTGGGGGGTGGGGTGGAGAGAACTGGGAGAAATTTTTCTGTTAAGCTGGACTGAGATACGTTAAATTGTACTTCCAGACACTTATTAGTAGGAATAGTTTATTTTGTCATGGGAAGTAAGGGAACGGCTGTGTGAGTCATTTATTGACAAAGGCAAAGATTCACCAGTGATCCACCACAGCCCTGCTTCTGTATTATCAGGTGTGGTTTCACCAGGAGACGGTAAGAACCTCTGTGAGTAGTGTCATCTGGGGCAGGACCATGAGTGAACTCAAGTGGGGCCATTTTATTTTGTATTAAGCACTTGATTTGTATCACCTGACATCTCTGCTATACTCTGGAGTATATTGGCCAGCACATGAAGGTTACCAATATCTTGTTTCTTTTAACATTAAAATGACCCGGGGGTTATTTAGCAAGTGCCTGATGTTTAAAATAAACAACCCCCAGCTCCTTGGGAGGCAGAAGGATTGTGAATTGGAGGTTATCCTGGGCAACATCATGAGACCCTGTCCCCCCAAAATATACAGATGTAATAACCAGCTACCTCACTTCTAATTAATAATTACCTGTTTATCCTTCAGTTCTACCTCAGCATCTCCTTGGAAAAAGGGATGAAGGCTGTGCCTCTCTTTCTGATTTCTTAACTGCTCTAGCCCTTAATTTCCTCCCTGCAAGATGATGCTGAACATGTCTACATCATAATTAGTTAAGGATTAAAGAGTGAATGTCTGGGATCAGCAGTTAGTGTAATGGCTATGTCGCTGGACTCCCATGTAGTCGACTGCGGTTTGAATCCTGGACCCGGTGGCTTAAACTCACGCTGGGCGCGTGTGCGTGCATGCCCAAGATCCCAAGAGGAGAATGGAGAGAAGGGATTGCGGCATGGCCATCCCCCCTGGGGGTGATTTCTCACTTTCTGTCTCTCTGTCTCTCTCTGTCTGTCTGGTGAGCGCACACACCCTATAGCAAAAACCTCTCCAAAAAATAAATAAATAAATAAATAAATAAATAAGAAAAGAGTGAATGTCTGGAGAACGCTGTGTGTTGGGCACATAGTAGATACATGCAAATCTTCCTTCAGAGTCACATCATGTGTTTACTGCTTCTGTCTAGGTCCGTCTCCTTTCCCTGGGCCTGCTCATACTGTTTCCATGTTCAAGGGCAGGTGAGACGTTAGTTATTCTCACTCTGTGATCCTAATTCACAGTGATTCATCTGAAGCCAAGACCTAACATTTTTTTTTCTTCCATTAAATATTTGGGCTGACTCTAGAGTCTAATGGTTAAGAAAGCAGAATCCCACATGGCCAACTGTGGTTCATGGCCAGTTTCTGGCCCTGACAGCTTGAAAAACATGCTAAATATGTCTGTGTATATACCTCAGATTTTGAAAGAATGGAAAATGGAGGAGGGATTGCAGTGTGATTATGATCCAAGGATATGGTGGGAGGGTGCTTTCTCCCACTCCCTCTCTCTGTGTCTCTGCTCTCTGGTGAGTGTGCATGCTCTCTGGCAATCAAAAACCAATGTATAGACAGTGAACTCTCAGAGTGAGGGGATGTGTGAAAGAACATGGCCTCTGCTCCTTTGAACATTGTATTACTGAAGCATTTATCTTCCAGGAGGAAGAGCCCTGTGAGAGCACCAGTGAGGAAGAGTGTGGTGCTGAGGACCATCAGAGCCTAAATTCTGTCGTTGATGTTGAGGATCTTGGCAAGATTATGGATCATATGAGAAAAGAAAAGGTACTATTATTTGGGGAAATAATGAACTTGGATCATGTGCTGGTTATCATTTTGTGTACTGTATTGCTATATAGTCTTATCTGAACTCACAGTATGATTTCTCTAGTTCTTCTCTTGAGACATTTATAATAATTGGCCATTTTTCATGAACTTTGTGGAAATTTTCCCTCTCAACTCTGGGAAAATAGGTTTGTAGGAGGATAAGCTGGAAGTTTTAGGGTAGAGGTTGAGGGAAAAGGTAGGTGGTTAGACAGACTTCATTCAGGGCTGTGTGAGAGTGAACAGCATGATAGGATTTATGATTGTTGAGATTCCAGGTGGAGTTCTGGTGTAAATTTGCTTCCTTTTTATATAGATTGGATAGTGTTGGGGTATAGGGATGGCAGCCTGGTGTATAGGTTTGAGATGAGCATGGGTAGGGGTCCTAGAAACCCAGGAAATGTTAGTCTGGCATGTATAGTCTCAGTGATGAGATGAACATAAGAATTCTATAGTGTAGTAGGATTTTATGCAGATTCCAATTGTCTGAAATTATAATGATATTACATCTATGGGTTGAACAACCCTAATCCAAAATTCCCAAATCTGAAAGGTCCAATATCTGAAACTTTTGACTATTTACACTATTAGTGGAAAATTCCATGTCAGACTTTATGTAATGGGTCACAGTCAAGATACTGCAGCACAAAATATTGTATAAAATTCCCTTCAGACTTTGTGTATAAGGTGTATATGAAACACAAATGAATTTTGTGTTTAGACTTAGGTGCCATCCCCAAGACATTATTATATATTTGTAAATATTCCAAAATCTGAAATCCGAAACATTTCTGGTTACAAGCATTTTCAGTAGGGTTATTCAACCTGTACTCTAATATAAAAATATAAAGTCTTGGGGCCAGCAGGCGGCGTGGTAGTTAAAGGGCGCTGGATTCTCACATGGCTGGCTGTGATTTGAGTCCTGGACCTGGTGGCTTGCTTTCTCCCTTTCCCCTTCTCTCTCTCTTCCATTCTCTGGTCAAATTAAAAAATAATAATGGCAAATAGAATTCAATAAATAAAAAGTTCTTAAGAAAATAGAAAAAATAATAAAGTCTTCCAATTTAACTGTTGGTTTCAGAAAATGAGACTTCCCTAAAGAAACTAAAAATTTGTCAGGTTCATAAACCTTGAGGGGAAAAATGTGAAAGTATTAGAAAATCTGAAAAAATCCATGATAAAACTTATGTTAATTCAAATGAGAGAATTTACGAATGTAGTATAATGTGTAGTAATGCACTAAATCAATAGCCTTTATTATTTCCAAGCAATAACCAGTTCAGCCCATCTCTTGGGGTTGGAGGTAGGAAGGCACCATATCCCAGCCTGTTCATGTGAGTTGAGGAGGGAACTCTAAGTACCTTTACTAGCATTCTGCAAATAAATCTTTACAAATTCTCTCATTACCTCCATTTTCTCCACTCTTTCATACCTTTAATGTGGAATACCCCTTTTTAAAGTTGTCAGACTCTCTCAGGCTTGTGTGTGTGTGTGTGTGTGTGTGTGTGTGTGTGTGTGTGTGTAATAGTGTATGCACTTGCCAGAGAGAGAGGGAGAGAGGAAAGCATGCCCAACAGAACATGGTCATGACGTGGAACAACCCAAGTCTGACAATTGCCTGAACTTTCTGTTCTGATACAGAGAAACTTGTGCATAACCTTGAAGCAGACCAGGGCTGGCTGATTGTTGCCTGGGCTTTCTGTTCCCCAGTGTGCTGAAACTGCCCCTCCTCTGAACTGTTGAACAGCTGGAGATCTTGAGCTCCCTGGTTCTCTCCTAGCTCTGTATTAGGGCAGACACAGAGCTCCTACCCTGATAGGACACTCCAAGTGTACTGCAACCGCCCCTCCCAATTCACCCATGAAAGTCTGTGTCCAACTGTTAGCTAGGGCCAGAGATTCAGAGTGTTAACTCCTCCATGCCCGCTAGCATAATGAAGAGTTCTTTTTCTTCTCCAGAGTGCTATGTTTTCATCCCTTGGTGTTTGTTTTTCTGCAACAGTCACTCCACGATCCTTTTTCCTCTATTTCTCCATCTTGTCAGGATTTTGGATACAAATGTATATGTACCTGGTGTATTTTTCAAGCTACCAGTGCTGGGGTTCAACTCAGAATTGGCCTGTGGGACTGAATGCCTTATAAATTCCATTTAACCGCTGTACTCTGGGGCTGGCCCTCAGGTATTTCAGGTGTTTTCTGACTTCTATAATGGATATACTTGCTCTCATATTTTTTGTGGCTGCTAATTTATTTTTTTCGTTTTAGATTTTTGCCATAGAGTACATGTGGTCACTGGAGAGAGACACAGAGAGAGGGAAAGAGAAGTTCCCACAAATTCCTTCTCTTCTTTTCTCCTCTTGGGATTTTGGGCAAGCATGTACATGTGCCTGGTGTTTTCTTTCTGATTTTTTTTTTTTTTTTTTAAGAAATTTGTATATTTATTTCTTTTGAAAGTTTATAACTTGAAATGACTATCCCTTTAGAGTTTCATTTAATTTAATACCCTGTTATAAACATTCAAACACTTCAGGCTAGAGTTCCCTGTCCCTAGTCTTACTGAATCCACTTTCCATAGGTAACCATTTTATAGTTTGATAATATTCTTCCAGGTATTTTACAGAACACATTGATATTTTGTATAATATTGTGTTTTGGCTACATTAGGATCATTTTGTTCTCTTAGGTTTCAGGTTGCCTTTTTTTCTGGTTGCTGTTCAGTTTTGGTGTAGGGCATGTACACTCACCAGAGGGAGGGAGAGAAGGAGAAATAAAGTGAGAAATCACCTCCCAGCAGGGGTGGCCATGCTGCAATCCTTACTCTTCTATTCTCTTCTTGGGATTTTGGGTGTGTATGCACATGTGCCTAGCACTTTTTTGTTTGTTTGTTTTTGATTTTTTGGGGGAGGTTTATGCTATAGGGCACATGCACTCACCAGAAAGACAGAGACAGAAAGAGAGAAATCACTCCCCAGGGGATTGGACATACTGCAGTCCCTTCTCCTCCATTCTCTCGGGATCTTGGGCACATATGCACATGCACCCAATGTGAGTTTAAGCTGCCAGATCCAGGACTTGAATTGTGGTCAACTATGTGGGAGTCGTGACGTAGCCATTACACCCTTTGCTGGCCCCACACGCCCAGTGTTTTTAAGTAGTTTTCAAGCATCCGGGTCTGGGACTTGAATTGCGGAATCAGCCATGTGGTATCTGGCTACCTTAACTACTGACTGGCCCCCAGATTACTTTTGTAAAATATCTTCAGCTTTATAACTTTTCAACCTTGTCATGAACTCATTTTAAGATCTGTGTGGCCCATAACTATGTTCCATAATTTATTTGGCTCTTGTCGATTAACATTTAGGTGGTGTTTTCTGACTTCTATAATGGATATACTTGCTCTCATATTTTTTGTAGCTGCTAATTTTTTTTTTTATTTTTAGATTTTTGCCATAGGTTACATGTGGTCACTGGAGAGAGACACAAAGAGAGGGAAAGTGTGCCATGTTGTTATCATAAGCTGTCAGGTCTGGTCTAGGGGGCTCACCATGAATAACAAAGATACTCTAAGAAATGCCAAGAGTTCAGTCATCACCTTCCAGGAGCCGGGGACAAAAGCCAGTTCTTCTCATTCTTCTTATTATACATTGCCTTTTATTGGTTGGTTGGCTTTTTTTGAAAACCTTGAAACCAAAAAACACTTCAATATGTGTAAAACTATATCCTGGATTTAAAACTATTGTTCCCTATTACATCATTAAAACCTCTCTGTATCAGTGTTGTCTCTGCCATTTTTGGTATTTTTTGTATTTTTGAAGCCCTGGAAGAAGTGTTATTAAGAATGACAAGTATGGGCCAGCAGTTGGTGTGGTGATGAAGGTGATGGACTCCCATGTAGTTGACTGCGGTTTGAGTCCTGGACCCAGTGGCTAAAACTCATGCTGGGCGCATGTGCGTGCATGCCCAAAATCCTGAGAGGAGAATGGAAGAGAAGGGGGTTGAAGTATGGCCATCCTCCCTGGGGGGTGATTCTTGTTTTGTGTGTCTCTGGTGAGCGCATGCACCCTATAGCAAAAATTGCTCTAAAAAATGATTTTTTTCTTATATATTTTCTTAGCATTGATAAAATTGGCTTGTTTTAAATTTTCATAATTAGTTTTGATTGGAGACAATTTTTACTTTTTTTTTTTTTTTTTCCTTTAGAGATTTTTGCTTTAGGGCACGTGTGCTCACCAGAGATCACCCCCCAGGGGGTTGACCATACTGCAATCTCTTATCCTCCTGGGAGGATCCATTGGATTGGAGGACTGGAGGACTGTATGTGCCCACCATGAGTTTCAAGCCACCAGGTCTAGTCACGTGGGAGTCCAGCGATGTGACCACTACACCATCTGCTAGCCCCAACATTTTTTACTTTTTTATAAGCATTAACATTAGGGCCAACAGGTGGCATGGTGTTTTAGGTATTGAACTCCCGTATGGCCTATTGTGATTTGAGCCTTGTACCTGGCTACATAAAAATCATGTTGGGCACGTGTGCATGCATGTCCAAGATCCCGAGAGGAGAATGGAGAAGAAGGGATTGCAGTATGGCCATTCCCTCTGGGTGGTGATTTTTCACTTTCTCTTTTTCTGTCTCTTTCTGTCTCTCTTCAGTGAGCACAGGAGCCCTATGGCAAAAACCTAAAAAACAACAACAAAACGCCCCCATGAATATTAAGCTGGCTTATGGCATAGCAGTGATATGCTGTTCAAGAGAAGGTGGATCCCACATGGTGACTGATTCAAATCCCTGGCCTGTTAGCCTAAACACACTGGGCATGTGAGTGAATGACCAAGATCCATTGGATTGGAAGACTGGAGGACTGGAGAACTGGAGGACTGGAGGACTGGAGGACTGGAGGACTGGAGGACTGGAGGATTGGAGGGCTGGAGGACTGGAGGGCTGGAGGACTGGAGGGCTGG